ACTTGGCAGTTTATTTAACTGATCAGTTAGAGAAAACGGTGCAAGTGGCAGAATATAATTTATTTAATAATTCCATTCTCTATGATTTAACATTAATTTTGTAATATTTTTTTATATATTATAAAAAAAATATTATTTAAATTATTTAAACCTTTTCTTGGTCAGGGACCACTTTTATATTATTCTTGTTAGCAGAGACCACTATGTAGGTATAATAAAAAGAAAGTGTAATATTTAAACTAAAAGTTTAATTAAAAACTAAATAGGAAATTACAAAAAAAGAAATAATAATATTTTAAGGAAAAACTTCTGTAATTTTGTATTAATGTGATTTCTGAGCTTGCATCTTCTTCACGAGTTTGGCTATTCTAGGACTAATATTGTTACTCAAAGCTACACGCAAATCATTACTTACTTTCAAACGATTCCTCCTCTTATTTTTAATTACCAACAAAGCAGAAAAACCTTGTTCACATAAATAAGTTGTTGAGAAAACCATAAAATAGCGCAAGGCGATATGTCGAAGTTTAGTATAAGAAATTGCTTTTTTACACCAAAACAACTCAAGTGAATTCGATTCATAAGCATTCTTACAGTTTCTGTCATTCTGGAATTCATTGAGTTATTCCTGGATTCCTTCAGTAACTTTCGAATCAGTTTTTGATCAACTTTTGCATAACGATTGAATTCATCGATCAACATTTATAAATGGGTCTTGAAGTTTTCTTATAGAAGAAAATATTTGCTTTACTAGCGTCATACTTTTTGTCTTCCACAAGTGCTTTTAATGTCGCAAACGAAGACTAATTATTTTCTTCAATTTTACGTAACCACAATTGAAGTTTGCAAATAAAAGAGCGAAGTTTAACTTCCAATATGAATAGATTTTGATTTTGAACTGTTGGTTGACTCTTTAGTAACAATGCTGTAATATACGTTTTTATTCAGATTTTTTACAGTGTATATTCATTAATAACAGCTTTATCTAGAGACAATAAAGCGAATAAAAAACAAAATTTTCAGAAAAGATATGGCTACAGTAAAATTTTAATTGACATTCGCTTTCATTGCTGATGCACCCACAATGTGTCACAAATTTTGGAAAAAATATTCTTCTTACTTTTGCACCCTGTATATGCTCAAATTAGAATCTGAATAAAAATGTTCAACATAACATAACTGAAGAGTCAACCTACAATTCACAATACGAAATCATCAAAATCAGATAAATGGTTAGAGGGGAAATCAAAATTAAAATTCTGGTGAATTTCTGGTGGCCTGTTTTTTTGCAGATAAGTTAAGGGTTACGTTCACCTTTTTGTTTTGTTTAAGCTGAACATATTTATACATAATAATGCATCATATTTTTGTATAACATTTTGAAAAAAAACAAGCAATGGTTTAATAAAATAAATAATATATTAAACTTTTATTATAACTAACTAACTATAACACGTTGCTTAACGTGTATCCATAAAACCTTTAGACAGTTAAGTCCACTATATTTTGACGTACTAGAAACTAGTGTTAAGCTGTCTGTTTATAACAAATTAATGTTTTATGAAAACCTACCAGTTCAGCCCAACAAAAATAAGTATTTTTAAAGATTAAAACATGCCAGATTCGAAAAACGTATTTATTACTTAAATAAGTAGGTATAAAAAGCAAGAAAACAAGGAAAAATATTAAAAAACAATTTTAAGTCTTTTACAACAGCATAAGTTACTACATGTCAAACAGAATAGATGTCCACATTTAATATATTTGTATATGCAGTTTTTCTGCTTTTTGAGGATTAATTCTGAATAATCTTCTAATTTATTCTTATTAAAACTTAATAAACTAAATTTATGAACTAATCTCGTTATTATATCTCGTTATGTAGTAATGTTCTCTCATCTGTAAGCTTCGCAAAATAAACTTTGAACATCAAAATTGGTGTGGACCCGACATCGCGAGCGAGTGCCTAATTAAATGAGTGTCTAGAAAAGTTTATAAACGAGTTGCAAACTATACTTTTTCTACAACAAATACTTAATATTATCTAAAAATGGTTTAAACTAAATATAACTAATATATAAAGCGACATTTATACAAAAATAGTCAAAATGTCAAATTAATCCCTTAAAAATGGACTAACAATCGTTTAAGTGGTGATATAGATGCAGTTTTACACAGTGAAAGTGAAGAGAATTTTTTATGGTCACTTCACGGTGGAGTCTCCACCAGAAATTTCTAATGCTTTCAGTTAAATCTGGTTTACAGCTGGCAAAATCAAGGTCAGTACAAACTTGCATATAAACTTTTTAAATAGGTATTGGCTATTTTATACTTTTTATTTTTGTAATGTAATAAAATAATATTTACATTATTATTTCACAAGATGGGCACTTAATTTTAACGGTTGAATGACACATGACAACTGTCAACTAACTTAAAACTAACTTCAGCCCGTGATTAAAACGTGTTGCTAACTTCGCTCTTGACTAAAACGCCGTAAATCCACAACTTGTTAATGTGTAATTAAAAGATAGTGTTATGGCAACATGCACGATATTGAGCGTTTTAAAGGTGGGAGTAGAAAAACATACTTTTTGTTTTGTATATCAAGTAAAAGGAAATATGCATTAATCCCGGCGCATTCGCCATTATTGGTTATATGTATTTTAAGAACTACTGAAATGAAATTTTAAATTTAAAGTTAGTTAATTTAAACCTAAAATAATTTTAAAATATAAAAAAATAAAGGATTATCCACCTCTACTTTTCAACTTTATTAATTTACATGGTTATAGTTCGAAGAGCGGGAACTTATACAACGAGCTTTAATGAAAATTATCTAATTAGTTAATTTTTAAGCACAACCTTTAGGAACATATTTTTTGATTAAAAATACCTACTAAAAATACATAAAATGGTAAATTTACCTAAACAAAACTAACACAAATAAAACTAAGTAACTATATTGCAATATTAATAACTATTTTTACTTTTCACCGTGTTTCTTCTTTTTAAAAATCATCAAAACGATTCAGTTTAGGCACAAAAAGACAATTTTTGGTCGAATGGAACAGAACATTTTATATCTTAACCGATACATAAAACGTATTATCATGATAATATGCATAATAATTATTATTAAAAGTAGAAAGTGAATCAAGAAGTCCAATTTTTAATTGGTACGAAGTAGTAATGATAAATAATGAATTTTTACTTTATGGGCTGTAAAAAACTTAACCCGATTTGTCTAAATCATTTTTAAGATCTTAGGGCATAATTAATTACTGTAGTAGGATTTACATCAAATTGATTTAGGACTATCGCGATATATCTTGAAAAAACAAACAAAAATACTCAAAATTGTGGTCCTTCATTGTACATTAGGGCCGAAATTATTTTTTTTGAAATTTAATACCATAGTTGTCATTTTTGCCAATTGACCTTGAAATTTTAAAAAATTACAAAAAATAAGCATTTTAAAAACAATGTCAGTAGGATTTTTCATGTGAATTTATTAAGCAATAATAAAGTACCAAAAAAACTTTGTTAATATAATAAGTAAGTAAAATTATTAAAATCATTAAGGCAATACTAATAATTTTAATTTTAATACTAATATTTTTTATGTATGCAGGAAATATTCTATGCACCTTGTAAATGAGTATATAATATGATTTTTAAAGTTTGAGTTACTTACTAACTTTTTCATGAGTTAAAACTCATTTAAAATTTTATTGGCTTACATGACAAGCTTTTAGTAAAGTGATATTAATGTGTAAAACATGGAAGTGGAAAAAATTGAAAAATTACATGACATGTAAGTATTATAAGCTGCACTTCACTTAAAATAAAATTGGCAAATTTCCTGAAAAATACAAAATTAAATTCTTTTACTGGGCAAAATAAGTTTAAATTATTCATTGCTACTTTGTTTGAATAAAGTTATAAAATAAACTGAAATAAACATTTTATAAAAAAGAATCTTGCTTTAAATTACAAATAAGAAAAAGATGTATGTTATAAATTATTTTGGACATCGGACTGGACAGACGCAAAGAAAGCTTTTTTCAGGTCATTAATATCGCGACCACAGCAAGAAAAAGAGGCTTCATTTGGGGTAAAATTAATTTATCTGGCACAAAGGAATCCAATAATTGACTATCCATTTTAATACTTCTTTTAATATTGTACTTTTATTTATTAAAGTATATTATGTATCAAGTTTGAAAAACGCCATTTTATACACGAATTTAATTTAGGCACAAGCGAGCTTGCGAGCGAGTTCTTAAATTAATGAGTGTATAGAAAAGTTAATAAACGTGGTGCATACTATACTTTTTCTACGACAAATACTTATTATTATCTTAAAATGATTTAAATCAAAAATTTGTATAGAGGGCCATCTATGAAACAATAGGGGAATCTGTGTGTCGCCATCAAATGTCAAATTTTTTTAATTTATAAACACAGATTATAAAGGTTATAAATCAAAATGCATTTCTTGAAAATTGACAGTTTTTCACAGTGAAAGTAAAGAAAATGTTTTATGAGCACTTTACAGTGGAGTCCGTGTCCGAATTTGAGTTATAGTTTATTGCCGGAGAAATTAAAAGGTCAGTACAATGTTCATATAAACTTTTCAAATATTGGCGTTGAAAAACTTTTTAATACTTTTGTATTTTTGTATTGATATTATAAAATAACTTTCACATTTAGTATTATTTTACAAGAAGGGCAATTTATTTTAACGATTGTATGACAGTTGACAACTGTCAACTAACTTAAAAGTAACTTCAGCCCGTGACTAAAAATCTGTTGCTAACTTCAGCCCGTGACTAAAGCGCCATAAACCTGTCAATGTGTATTTAAAAGGTCACTTAGTGTCATGGAAACATGTAAGATAAAGGGCGTTTTAAAGGTGGGAGTAAAAAAAACTAAAGTATATACTTGTAATAATAATACTATATTCTATGAACTAATAATAATATATTTTGTTTCAGGAAAATTCTATAAATATTATTATGTAAGGAATATGTAAGTAAATTTTAAGATCATACAGTTAGTATTACTAGTTATTGTAAAAAATAGTTTACTTTAAAATAGGACCAATAATATTTAAATCTCATATGTGGTATTATATATAGTATTATAAGCATTCTTATCAGACTGATTTGTTTTTATTTATTATTTATATTATTTAATTTTTTTTTATAAATGTATTACCTAGTAAACTAGAAAGTGCAACAAGTTTTAACAAATATCATGAAAGTACTATTATAGCATTGTACCTTTTGTAAGCATTTTATGGAATAGCCTTTAGCCATTTTACCGAATTTTGATTTTTTGAATTTAATTAAGTCAAAAAGAAGTAATAATTTAATTTGATTTTACTGTATCTAGTTAAGAAAATATGAAAAAAATCGACCTGATTTTGATCAAAAATATTCCTTGAATTCTTCAACAATTTGGTGTCCAAGTGTAAATTCGGCTCTTTGGAAATAACAATAAGAATGAGACAAAAGATTTCGTATAAAACAATAAGGTTTTAGAGCATTTAAAAAAATCTATGGATAGTTTTTATTACAATTTATGTTACTCTGTTAATGGTTTAATCGGTAGAAACTGTTGACCGGACCACCTGAACGAGGCAAATCTTTACACTTTCTCGGTCATGTTTTAATGATTCGAGGGGTAAAACACTGATTTTTTTAAAATTAAAAATCGCATAGTAATTAACGGCTAAGGAAAACATTCACAAGAGTATTTATACGCAACGCGTCGCTAAGAGAAATTTCTTATTGATAATGATTTTTCTTATTGATAACGACTGATAAGGAAAAATTAGAACACAATGTCCATAAAACGTTGAACGTTATTCTCGCTGATTTTATTATGTCATATTCACTCTACGAATTGTGTTCAGAAAATATCGGGAATTTTCGTTTTTTGAAACAAATATTTATTTATTCGTCTACATTAATGTTGTCGCCTTTAAAATAGTCCCCATTGGATATTATGCACATGTGCCAGCTCTTCTTTCAATACTCGAAACACTTCTAAAACTCGATCTTTTGGATAGCCTTTAGTTCTTTCAGCGATGCGCTTTTAATGTCATCTATGCTTGCAAAACGACGGCCCTTTAAGGTTCTCTTTATTTTTGGAAATAGAAAAAAGTCAGACAGAGGCATGTCTGGCGAATATGGAGGCTGGGGTATCATTACAGTATTGTTTTGGAACAAATTTTGCTGCCACGCGTTTCATATCCAAAACATTCAAAAAAAATTCATGGGATGAGCCAATCGATATACCAACATCATCAGCGACTTCTCTGATGGTTTATAACCATTTCTTCCACTTTTTCCATGTTTTTATCGGCTGTTAATGTGCTTGTGCGTTCGGGGCGTTCGTCATCTTCAACGTCTTCACGGCCATCTTGGAAACTCTTATACCACTTGTAAACTCTTGTTTTACTTATAGCAGACTCACTATAGGCCTTTGTTAACATTTCATAGAATTTATTTCATTTTTTAAGCAAAATTGGAATCGCCGAGCTCATAAAACACGTCCAACCTTAGCGGCTGCCTCAGACAAAGTAAACAATGAAAATAGCTAAAGTTTTTATCATACTTCGGGGGCATGTAAACCAACATAATAAAGAAAAATTTATGACAACGGGACCCTCCGAACCCGCGAAATTTAACAATTCCCGTTATTTTCTGAACACACCTCGTATTTATTGTTTAACGACTCCGCTGGCAACTCAAAATTTTAGGCATTCTTTAGGTAGAAATAATGGTATAGTCTGTAACAAGTTTGGAATACGGCACACCGTTTCACGAAAGCGGAATATGCAATTCCAAAGTGTTTCAGACTATACTTTTTCTACGTTTCCAAAAAATAGATATTAAACAAAGAGGTCGCCACTAGTGTTTATTTCGTTATCCGATGATAGAATAATTCCTTCTGTAATACTTTAAGCAATATATGTCATTCCACATTAAACAGTGATATTAAAACGGTCATATTCCGTAAAAGGAGTAGAAAAACTCCTTTACATTAAAATTTATTTTTTCTACAACCGTTAAAAGTTTCTTAATGACATTTTAATGACATGCGTTTGAAAGACGCCACATTCGTTTTGTTTACCTTAACTACGCTAATGTATCCTACATTGGCGGTGCACGATGTGAATAAACAAAGTTTTCTATAATATTAAGAGTTGCCTTTTAAATAAAAGAGGCTACATGATTTATTGCTTTTAGATTTTTCCTTAAAATAAGCGAGTCCATTTTTATTTATGCTTGTTACAATTTTAGGTAAAAACAAATCTTTAAACTGCTTACAAGCATTCTCATACATTTCGATTCTTCTTTGCAATTTAATGCAAAATTAAATTCCCCATAATTGTGGTAGGCGATGGTATTTTAAGTTGTTTTTAACATTTATTTTGTGAAAAAATGCAGAGAGAACTTTTTTAAAAGAATCCAAACCAAGATTTTATATTTCTGATCTAATTATTTAAAAAAAGTTGAAGAAAACACTTTCTATGTACGTAATACGCGAAATTTCTTGTGGGCTTTTGAATAATTTTTTATCCCGACAAGAAAACGTCATTCTTAATCACCAATGTTCAATTTCGTGCACTAGGTACAGGGTGATTCCCTATAATGTCGCCCCCCTTTAACTTTTTTATTTTAAGTGTCCCAAAAAATTTTGTGGTGTGTGGTTATGTAGGAACTAAAAAATACTTTTTTTTTCTACGTATAAAGAAAATTGGAAAATTGATCAGTATACAGGGAAAAACTAAAAGTTTATTTTTTTTTAATGGATCACCCTATATTTTAATTTATTTTTTGATTTCTTGTAAAATTCTGAGCATAATTTATATACAAACCATATACCTAAACTCAACCGTTTCTGAAATATTCGCATTCGAAATGTCATCATTAAATGTTGTTTTAAACTGTTAAAAATCAAGAAGCCTCAGTATACCAAAATTTTTATTGAAAATAAATTACTATAGTGACATTATGTCAATAAGTGTTGTTAAATAAGTAAAAATGGCGTACTCAGACAGAGAAAGACAAACTATTTCAACTTATTATCTTAAAAATAATTTAAATATTTCAGAAACGGTTGAATTTAGGTATATGGTATGATATATGAAATATGCTTAGAATTTTACAAGGAATCGAAAAATAAATTCATATATAGGGTGATCCATTGAAAAAAAATTTCCCTGTATACTGATCAATTTTCCAATTTTCTTTATACGTAGAAAAAAGTATTTTTTAGTTCCTACATAACCACACTTTTAATTTTTTTGGGTCACTTAAAATAAAAAAGTTAAAGGGGCGACATTATAGGTATAGATCACCCTGTACATAAATAACTTTAAAAAATGTATTTTAAGCCATTGATTATATTTTATTATAATTGCTATTAAAAAGTTGAAAAGTTTAGTACTGTGCAATTCAGATCATTCAAACTTGGTTTATGAGTACTTCATTTAATTTTATAGTATTCTTAAAATATTTTAATGTTGTTTTGATACTTACCTTTTGGCACCTTTGCTTTATAAATTCTTATAATTCACGAGCGCCAGTTATTTATAGTAGTTGGGAATCCACTACCGGGGTCTGAGAGGTAAATTTACGCAGAAAAAATTATTCTCTAAACACGTGTGTTTTTTATGTTTTAAGGGTGCTAAATTTACTTCTGATATAAATTTTTTCAAAAATATTTGGTATTGAGGATGGGGAAGTCTAGCCAAATGATATAAAATGATTTTTTTAATATTCTTGTATTTTTATGTTTTATTTCATGTTTAATATAAATATTTAATAATTTATTTATTAAATAATTAAATTTAATAAATATAAAATATATTATTATATGAACATTTTACATTTCACCATATTTTTTTAAATCACCTTTTAGCCAATATCATGATGGTTTACAATAGGAAAACTAATTATTTTTATTATGCGTTGAATACTCTTGCTTGTTTTAAAAATGAGATTCCTATACAAAAATTGTACTACCCTCTTGAAGCACACTGCTGTTTTTTTTTAATTTCTGAGCACCTAAAAATGTTTGTTAGAAATCTCGTTTAAAAAAAAAGCAGTAGTTTTTATGAAGAATGATTTTTTGCGATTCTGTTACGAATATTTTACTACTTCTCTCTTATTTTGATATATAAATTTTTTTAAATTTCTGAGCACCCTATCCATATTATTAATTTTTTTATGAAAGTCTAATTTTTTAACCATCAAATATTTTCATAAAGAATTAATTTTTCCATAAAACTCGCTTCTAGTTTTTTAGGTGCTAAACAATAATACAATCTGTTCTAAAACTCTTGTCGATCTTTTTGAAAAGTTTCATGAGTTATCTGACTACATTCTTGAATTATTCTTCGTTTAAGTTCTTGAATGTTCTCAGGTGGTGGTTTGTAGACTTTAATATGTGTTTTTAAATATTTATAGATCCGAAGGTTATGTTAATAGATTAATAACCCCTGGTTATGTTTACCGGTTGCTAAGAATATCGCGTCGATAAGCAACTAATTAATAATTAGCACCACTCGACAAAAAGGTATAGTGTTTACTTTTCGTGGAATCGCAATGGCTCCCTCAATGAATTCCTTCACTCGCCTATTGGCTCGCTCGGAAACTTTCATCATCGGGAGTAATTGTTATGATTCCACGTTCGGTAAACAATATAATATACCGACTTCTTTAGTATTATAGAGGAACGTCCGATATCCCACGATTGTTAATATCTGTATTTTCTTCACTCTCATAGTTTTTACCAGTAAAAGATAATTTTTAACAGCCTGTCACGCGCGTTTAACAATAACTCGACCTTAGGAAATATAATTCCTCGTACAAACGTTACAACGTTAAAAAAAAATGTAGACAAAAAACGTGCCAAAAATAAAATACTCAAGAAATTTTTATCAAAAGTCTGCGTATAATGGTCGTACAAAAAATAGTGTAAGCATAAAGAACAGTAATTAGTTTATCTCCGAACCTTGTCGTCGATCTAAACTATGAAAACTATTCTTACTGTTATTGATACTTAATATACTATTAATTTTTATGCTATGAATTTAGATCCTTATTCCAAAATTTTCTTAAAATTGTTGCGCTTAGTTATAATGATTTTTCATTTTATTTTATT